AGTTGAGAACTGAAGCCCATGGGAACAAGACAGCAACAGGCGGGGCTTTTTCCCTGACCCTAACTTAGCATAGGAGGGGTGGCTCAAACCTGCAGATGCATGGTGACTACTGGTGACCCTAGAGGTCTCCATGGAGAATAGCATCAGTGGAACACAGCAGTGCAGGCAGTGGACTACAGTGGCTGGTGAATTATTTGGGTTTGTATGTCCCCTGGAGAGGGCAACTGGCTGGAAGCCATTTAAGAGAGAGGCCAAAAGAACTCAGAACAGGTGTGTGCCAGCTCCATCTAGTGACTTACTTCCAATGTTAGGGTAAGGCTGCCAAGTTTAAGTTAGCACAGAGCAGAGTTCAAGCTGGCAAGAGGCACACAAAATGTTACAGGCTGAAAAAAAATCAGGTTCTAGCCTCCCAGCCAGAAACCAGCTTGAATTTAGCAGAATTAAAGGTGCAGGTATGCTGTAATTCACTTGGATCTGGACTGTGTCTGCCCACAGTGCCTACCCGTGAGAGCAAAGACACACCTTGAAGTGGACATTCTTTTTCTTTCTTTTCTTGTTTTGTTTTTTGACTGTTTGTCCTTGGTTTTATGTGTGAACATGGCTTCTAGTTTTCTGTTGTTGTTCTGTCGTTTTTATTTATTCCTTCACTCACTCCAGTCTTCCAAATTTTGCATAACCCTTTGTCCTCCAGCCTTGCTTCTAATCTACTCTTTTATCTATTCCTCTATTTTTTAAAAAATCATCACTAAACTCTTAAATTTTCTCTGTTGAGGATAAAACCACCATATCTCATGAAGGTTTACTTACTATATAGTATATTTTTAGTTTGTTTTAGATTTTGTTACTAATCACAAGTCTAGTTCATATAGTTAATGATGGCAAATTAATAGTTACCACTGTTTGTCATTTTTAAGGCTGCATTTGATGCTGAGGTAATTCATGACCAAAATCAGCATTCAAAAATGCTCTGAAGGACATTCTAGAAAGTAACAACAAAGACTAACCTCATGAACCCCCAACAGAATAAATTCACTAGGTAAGGTAAGAAATTAAACAGAGGGGGCAAAAGGAAAACCAATACAGGAAAGTAATATGACAAGGATAAGTCAATAAATATCAGTTATAGCCATTAATGTTAAGTTTCAATTTACCAATCAAAAGAAATAGACTGGGCCCGGGGTTTAGTTCAGTGGCACAGCTCCTGCCTGGCAAACAAGAGGTCCTGAGTTTGATTCCTGGCATCTTTCCCCTCAACCCCCAACAAAGGAGAGGCCAACAAAATGGATCAAGAAACAGGACCCAACAATATGTTGAACAAAAACAAAAACAAAAACGAAATTTAATTAAAAAAACAAATTCAGTCTGAAAGTCCAAGGATGGAAAAACAATACTCCATGCAACAAGAACTTGGAAGAAAGTAGGAATAGCTATTCCATTAGCAGAAAAAGTGGATTTCAAGCAAAGACTGAGTAAGAAAGATGACAGTCTCTACATCCTTGTAAAAGAAACAACCCAAAGGAAGATATAAGTCATAGTTATGTATGCACCAAATATCAACACACCCAACTATATAAAACAATATTAATGGACATGAAAAATCAAATAAGAAGCATTGATGCAATTGTAATGTGTGACCACAATACCCCACTATCACAAAACATACACTAGACAAAAAAAATTAACAATAGAGTATCAGAATTGAACCAAATCTCTGAACAAATGGACTTAGTAGATGTCTAGTAAGATTTCTAATGTTGTCCCACTCTGCATCAGAATGTACATTCTTTTCAGCTGTACCCAAGACGTTCTCCAAAACAGACCACATATTATTAGCTCATAGAACATGCTTAAATATATGCAAGGAACTGAAATTATCTAATGCATACTATCAAACAACAGTGCAACAGAATTAGAAATCAATGGCAAGTGAAACTTTAAAAACATGGAGATTAAATGACACTCTCCTGAACAACCAATGGGCCACAGGTGAAATTAAAGAAGAAATGAGTTTCTACAATTAAATGGTAATGCCAATACAACATACCATAATGCATGGGATATATTTGATAAGCATCCTATGAGGTAAATTTATAGTGGTGAACTCCCATGCCAGAAAAACAGAGCAAGCTCAAACAACCTCAAGCTTCCCAGAAAAAAAAAAGCGGGGGGGGAAGGGGGGGAAAGAAAAAAAAAAAAGGCAAGTCAAGCTCAAAGCTCATATGAGGGAAGAAATTGTAAAATATCTGAGCAGAAATTAAATGGAGACTAAAAAACAAACAAAAAACCCAAACAAACCAAAAATTAATAAATTGAAAAGATGGGCTTTTAAAAAATCTATTTGGTTGGGGGCCGGGGAGATGGCTCAGTAGGATAAGTGCTTGACTGGCAAAAGCAAGGATCTGAGTTTAATCCCCGGTTCCGGAAAAAAAGAAAAAGAAAAAGAAAAAGAAAAAAAGTATTTGGTTGTTACATGATCTTGCTATAATCCTCAGACTCGTGGTGATCCTCCTGCTTTCAGCTTCCTCAGCACTGGAATTATAGTCCCTGCTCTTGCTCTTGCCTAAACTAGCACTTTAGTCTGCTGAGCTATCTCGCCAGCCCAGAAGAGATATTTCTTTGAAAAATTAAAATTTGTAAACCTTTAACCAACTTTATAAAAAAAAAAAAACCACAAAAACAACAACAAACCCACAAATGAACAATAGAAAGGGACGAAATCACAACTAATTCTGCAGAAATTCAGACTATCAACCCATTCGGAGAAACTGTATTCCAAGTAGACGGAAAACACAAAGAAAGGGACAGATTCCTAGTCACACGTGAATCACCAAAACTAAAGCAAGACACAAAAATTCTAAATAACCAGTACGTCAATGAAATTAAAGGTATAATTATTTGCCAACAAAGAGAAGCCCAGGCCCTAATGGATTCACTGTTGAATTATATAAGAAATTTATTGATTGACATTATATTTTTTAGTAAGGGTCTACAGGGTCTTACTGCACAAGATTGGACTCATAGCGATCCTGTTTTCAGCCTCTGAAACACTGTGATTACAGGCATGTGCCACCACGCCCAGTCTCAGCTGCAGTCTCAATTGCATGCTCTGGGGATGGGGCTGGCACAGCAGGCTGGGGATCTAACTCTGGCCACTGTGTCTGCCTAAGCACTTTAATCTGCTGAGCTATTTGGCCAGCTCTTGTACAAGAACTTTAGAGAAGACCTAATGCAGCTACTTCTCAAATTCTTTGGTGAAATTCAAAAGAAGCAATACTCCTAAATTCTTTCCTGGAAGCAAGCATTATTCTAATACTAAACCAGAGAAGGAACCAACCAACCAAAAAAAAAAAAAAAAAAAAAAAAAAAAAAAAAAAGAACTAGAAGTCTGACAAAGGAAGTAAAACACCTTTGCATTAAATACTACAGTACTCTAAAAAAGATTGAAGAAGATATCACAAAATAGAAAAATATTCCTTGCTCTTGGGTAGGAAGATCCACCATAGTGAAAAGGATCATACTTCCAAAACTGACGGACAAATTAATGCAATCCTGATCAAAATGCCAACTCATACCTCACAAGATTAGAGAAAACAATTCTAAAATTTATTTGGAACCAGAAGAGACCTAGAATAGCAACAGCAAATGAAATTCTGTGCAACAAAGGTAAGGCAGGAGCATCACAACCCTGACTTGAAATAATAGTATAAAGCTACTGTGATAAAAACAGTATGGTACTGGAGGGGGGAACCCACAAACAAACAAAGAAACCAGACTCAAAGATGAACAGAATATATCAGAAGACACAGAAAGCAACTCCAGAAATATTCAGCCACCATATCTTCTAACAAAAGAGCCAAAAAGTTTCATTGGAAGATAGCCTCTTTAATAAACAGTGCTGGAAGGTGGGCCAAATAATTCAGCGGATTAAAGTGCCTCCAAACAGGTGCAGGGGCCAGGGGTTCTATCCTTGGGCCTGCAGTGCTGGCCCCGCCCACAGAGCACACTGAGATGGCAATCAAGACCGGGCATGGTGGTGCACGCCTGTAATCCCAGCTCTTAGCAGGCTGAAAACAGGCGGATCACTAAGAGTCTGATCTAGTAGTAAGACCCAGTAGACCCTTCCCTAAAAAAATAAGGTGCTGGAAAAACTGTCTATCCACATGCTAAAGATTAAAACCAGACCCGTACCTATCACCATGCACTAAACTAAAACCGGAATGGTTCCAAGATCTAAGTATTAAAATAGAAACACTAAATCTGCTGGAAGATAGAACAGTAAGAATTCTTAAAGACACAGTTCAGGCAAAGACTTCATGAACAAAACAACAAAGGAAGTATCACAAAGAATCAAGACCTGGAATTTCATCTTATTAAAAAGGTTTTTGTGGGCCGAGCAAATAGCTCAGTGGATTAAAACACCTGCAAGCAGGTACAGGGGCTGGGGCCAGGGACTGGGGGTGGTAGTGGTTTCGGGCCTGCCCTGCCGACCCTACCCCTGGCCACACAGAAACAGCGACTGAGACTGGGGTGTGGCGGCACACACCTGTAATCCTGGCCCTTGGGAGGCTGTAAACAGGAAGATCACTACGAGTCTGATCTGATCTAGTAGTGAGACCCTGAACACCCTGTAGACCCTTCACTAAAAATACAGGAAAAAAAAAAAAAAAGCTTTTTGCACACCAAAGGAAACCACCAACAGAGTAAATAACCTATTGTGTAGGAAATTTTTTTTGCTACCTGTTCTTCAAAGTAGAGTATGTAAAGAACTAACAACAAAACAAATCCCTCCAATTTAAAGATACTCCATTTCAGCCATGTGAAATGAACACAGACTTCTCAGATGTAGAAGTAGAAACAGCAAATATATGAAAAAAATTTGAACATCACTATTCATTCAAGAGACTAAAAAAACACCAAGATTACATCTCACTCCACAAAGAATGGTATTATGAACAAAAAACCAGTAACAAATACTGGCAGGGCTGAGGGGAAGAAGGTACCTTATTCCACTGTTGGTGACTGGTGCAGCCACTGAAGAAATCAGTGTGGAGGTTCCTCAAAAAAAAAAAAAAAAAAAAAACATGTTCCACTTGACCCAACAATTCCCCTTATTGGTTATCTCCTCAAAAGAATCCACCGCTATGTATGCACATCCATGTTTATAATGGACATAGTTTGTAATATAATAGCTTTTTTTTTTTTTTGGCGGAACCAGAAATTGAACTCAGGCTCTTGCACTTGCCAGGCAAGCGCTTATTCAACTGAGCTATCTCCCCAGCCCCCAATAGCTTAATCTTTGAAGCAGCTCAAATGCCCACTGACTGACTGATGAATGCATAAAGAGACAGGACTTTTTAAAAATATATACAATTGAGTACTACAAGCTAGCTGAATTGATGTACCTTAAGACCATACTCATAAGTGAAATAAATCTGATGCACATGTTCAAATACTGAATAGTTTCTTTGGTGTGAGAACCCAAAAGCATAAATAAAAACCGCAATGTATTGGGAAATGGAAAGAAAATACTCAAATAAGTAGGGGAACAAGGAAGGTGGAAGGAGAAAGAATGGACAAGAATAAAAAGAAGGAAAAAATGGAAACAAAGCTTTTGTAATTAGATGGGGAAAAGGGGTTGAAGGGAGGGGAGGAGAAGAAAAAAAGAATGATCAAGATGTATCTTGCAAAGATATAAACTGTCTTTGATGAATATTACATATATAGACAGATATCCCATAAAACACAAAGTTAAAAAAAAAATCTTTACCTTCAGAAAAGAGAAAAATTGGAAACTATGCTTAATCCTAGCCACTAAAGGCTAACTCATAGCTGAACATGACATTACAACTGAAGTCCTTAGACCTCTTTCTGGAAGGCACCTGACTCTTGTGCAAAACAATACCCAACTCCTGCTTACTAGTCCATTTATCCACCCATCACATTTACGCTTATTACCCAACCTCCCTCTTTCTACTCTCGTAAGGCCTTGACACTATGATCAGAACAAGACTAATTACTAATAAACTCTAGAGTCTCAAGTACTGGTTTGAATGATACTTGCAGCTTTGGGTTTTATCAGCTGGGACCTAATTTATGAACTGGTAGATGTGACTCTCCCCTGGGAGGACAAGTAGCTGTTTTGCAGCAATCTCCCAAACTCTCTAATGCCATGTATATAAAATAATCTGCTTACACTAAGAAACTCACATGAATTTCAAATGGTTGGCTTCATCAATTACATGGGGAGAATAAACAGGGTTCTTGAGCGATGAGGGTTCTGCAAGTTCAGACAAAAAAATGAGAGGGAAGGGATGGAGACAAACAGGGGTGTAAAAACAAAACAGAGAAAATACCACTAGGATAAACATTACTGAAATACAGTATTGTATTTGTACCCTGTAAATATGTGTTTTACTTACAGCCTAGCGGAAGGGAAACCTGGACCAAAATTCTGCATTTTGTGGTATATTCAATAAATATTTATTGATCAAATTAGCGAGGGAGAAGAGGGAGAGGACTGTCCTCTCCAGCAGTTAGACGTTCCTCGGGCTCCATGGTGCCTGGGCCTTCAGCCTTCTCACCTCCTGCATGGCCAGGCGGGCTTCTGTGTTAAGAGGCACCAAAACTAGTGTAGGTGGGGCAGTGGGTGGTGGGAATGGGGAAGGGAAATGGGCTCTTCCCTGCTGAATACGAGAGAACATTTACACATGACATGATATTGTAGGGGTAGGATAAAGAGATAACAGTGTCCTAAAACTACTAGCCTTTGATTGCTTGTATATTAGGATCTCTTTTATTGCTTCCTGCAGTCCTTTTCTAGAGTAAATACTTCATTTTACAAAGACCACACTGAATCCTCAAATAATGGATTTCAAAAGAATATTAGTTTTGCAAATTAGCGAGGGATTGTACTTGAAATGAAAATAAAGTCAACAGGGGCTGGAGAGATGGCTCAGTGGTCTAAAGCACCTACTTGGAACAAGCTTGGCAAAGCACAGGGACCATGGTTCAATCCTCCAGCACCACATGCCAGCCAGCCACGCCCCCTGGTGGGCTGAGCTGGCCACACACATATACACACACACACACATACAATAAATGTTAAAAATAAATAAATAAATAAAAAATATTTAAAAAAAAAATAAAGTCAACAAAGCACACTGTCACTTAACACTTCAGATCACATATAAAACTGAACTGAAAAGCCAAGAGGTTCATGAGGTAACTGCTTCCTTTGCTTTCTTTCCCCCAATAGCTTCCTATATTACTAGAACAACAGTTAACATTTATTTTTTTCCTCCTCTGTAGTTCAAAATAAGATAATACTGGAAAAGTTTTACCCTTGCAATTTGGGGAGGGAGTTCTGAAGACTTGAATCCAGGGCCTTAGCCTTGACCTATCTATCTCTAGCACACATCCTCTTAATTTTAAAACAGGGTGTTGCTAAGTCATTACACAGAGTCTTGGGCACAAACTTGCCACCCAACTGCCTTGATCTTCATGTTTGGTTTAGTTTTATAATTTTTGTAACAGCTTACTGGGAAGCTGGGGAAAGTACCCAAATACTGGATTATCTACAAGGTCAATTCTTATCTACTGTTCATAATACTTGACTCACAAACTCAATTCATTTGCAAGGGCTAGGTATAACTCAAGCTGGTTTTGAGTGAAGACTTTTTCCAATTAAAAAAAAGGAAACACTCACAATGTGTTCTAAACCTTCCAAAGCAGCCCTTAAAGGTAGTGTATGTGCATAATTTACCAGAAATACCAACAATTTTCTTAGTGTATCAAACAAAAAATTATAAAATGTGCCTTGCATACCGGAAACAACAATTTCATACTGTACTTACTATTCAAACTGCTATCTTTGGCTTGCAGGAAAGGATAATGAAATAGAAAGTGGTTATTGTTTGGAAAGAGTTCCTTTTTTTAAAGAACATCAGGAATCTGGCTCTCTGGCTCTGTTCTCTCTCCTTGGACAAGTCTGTAGTCCACTAAGATCCGTTTCTGGCTCTCCAGGTCTCAACCCTTTCAGCACTAAATACTGGTCTAAAGTTGCCAGTTTCTGTCTTTTTCTTTAACGCTGTTTTGTAATACGACATGACACTGTCATTAAGCAAGTGAATGCAATGATAGGCTTTTTCTCTGCCTGAGTTAGGTTTTCTTTACAAATGTTTATAGCTCTGTCCATTTTTTTTTTTCATGATTTCTTTTATGTCAGACCTTTGCCAGGCTGATTGTTGATACTCCCCCTCCTCTTTAGAAAGCACCTCAGCTGGTTTTCTCTGTTGCTGAGAAAAAATCGCTAAAGTTCTTCTGTAGATAATTCCTCTCAGTGCTCTTCCACCAGTTCTTTAAAATCACTGTCTACCTTCAAGTCTATACTCTGCTACAGTGAAGTCACCAACCACAGGGTCAACTGAAGGCTCAGGTTCTTTTACATAGTCTTCAAAGTCTCTCTCCTGTATAATTTTAGGCCACATTTTCTTTCAGAAAGGTCTTCAGTCACTGCTTAGGATTTCTCAACCCAAACAGGAAAGGATGTTGTAATGCTCCTTTCAGAACTCTTTTAAGGGTTAAATTGGTATCTGAGACCATCTGGAAGCACTTCAGGAACACTTCTGTGGTGTATAGCATTAAAATTAGTGGGCTGGGGAGATAGCTAAGTGGCATAAATGCCTGCCTGGTAAGTGCAAAGTCCTGAGTTCAGTTCCCAGTACTGCAAAAAAACAAAATAAAATTAGCTATAACCTGCTGGTTCTCAGGCTGCAGTAGAGGAGCTGTATAAGATATGAGGAACTCAGCTGACATCCATGGGTATTCTTCAGCCAATTCTTGCAAATCTCATGAGTGAGGTAGAAGTATTGCCCATGAGGAGGAGCACCTTGAGTGGTAAACCCTTGTCCTCTAGGTATTTCTTAACAGCCGGACAGAGAGCCTCCCTGATCCACTCAAGAAAAAGTGCTCGTTATCCAGGCTTGTGTGTTAGATGCCCACATGATCTCTAGCCTATTCTTCATGACTTTATGTTTTCTAAACACTTTAGGGGTCTTGGAGCGATAAACCAAGAGAAGCTTTATCTTGAGGTCTCCATTCGCATTGGCACATAGCAATGTTAGGCTATTCTTCACTGACTTATGGCCTGGCATTTTCCTCTTCCTTAGTAATGTATGTTCTCTTTGGCATTTTCTTCTAGAAAAGGCTAGTTTTGTTACAGTTAAAAACTTCATGAAAGCAAAAGCTATTTCTCTGTCACTGTTTTGAAGTGATGTATATAACTTTCAGCAGTTCTTTTATTAGCACTGGCTGCATCACTATGTTTAGTTACACTATGAAGCCCAGTTCTTGCTTTAAAATTGTGAAGCCACTCCTTACCGGCATGAAATATTTCACCATTATCATTTGTTGATGGATTATCCTTTACAAGATCTACATTAAAGGCCCTAGTTTTTTCACAAATTATAAACTCGGGCTATAATCTGCTATTTGCCTTTTGTTTATCCACACTAATAACAGTATTTCTTTTTTTTTTCTTTTTTTTTTGCTGGAACCGGGGATTGAACTCAGACCCTTGCCCTTGCTAGGGAAGTGCTTATTCCACTGAGCCATCTCCCCAGCCCCAACAGTATTTCTATCTTGTCTAACACTACTGATCGTGAGTTATTAATTTGAGAAACACCTTTAGCAATACTAGCTTCCTTATATAAATCTTTCCTCTGTAAGATTGTTAAGATAAGGGCCAGCCAAATAGCTCAGTGGATTAAAGCGAGTGCTTAGGCAAGCGCAGGGGCCAGGAGTTCAATCCCTGTGCCTGCTGCGCCGGCGATTGAGACTGGGCATGGTGGCACATGCCTGCAATCCCAGCACTACGGAGGCTGGAAACAGGAGGATCACTATGAGTCCGATCTACGTAGTGGACCCCTGTAGACCCTGTCCTAAAAAAAAAAAAAAAAAAAAAAAAAATTGTTAAAAGATAGTAGATTGCAATATACTATAAATATTAGTGAGAGTGATCACACAAAAGCCAGTCTTGTATTTCTCAACAATTTTAC